CCGAATGGGCAGCCAAAAGACAGCAACCAAAACCGGCGCACGAAAGTGCATGGTTAATGGTTGTTCAAACTGAAAACTGAAACTGGATGTTCGCCTGATAGAGAGAAAAAGCTTATCAGAATGTGGTACGGCCGAAACATGGCAACAGGAGCGAATCAAAAAGAACTGAAGCGTAATGTGCTGATAAAATCTGGCAATTAGATGTGAAAAACGATCAACAGAATACGTGTCCGAATTGCCTAATGGTTTTCGCTTGCGTAAACCTCTTGTACATCACTATAAGCCCTGGCCACCTCACACACACACACACACACACACACACACACACATACACACACACCAGCAATCATATGCAACTTCGTTAATGGAATGAAACAATGAAGAATACTCACCATTCGATATTTTCCGGTCAACAATGAATTCATCAATATTTTGGCGCAATTATGGTGTGCGTGTGTGTGTGTGAGAGAGAGAGAGAGGAACTGAACGGCGGGTGCAATCCACGATACCCAGGGAAAGATACGAACAACAACTGGTCTCGTGAACCAGATTCAAACATCCTCGTTAATGAGGCTAATAATGTACAGATCACTGAGCTTAAATTTCAGATGGGAATTCGTCGTGTCTATGGCAAATGAAGCGTGAACTGAAAAGCTAGGAAGCACTACTGGACAGCTGTTTCGACCTGGTTGAGTCTCATCCGCAGTGCGAATGCATCAGCCCAAGTGGGGATCGAACCCAGGACCTCTCAGGTATAACGCAAGCATAATACCCACTCGGCCAGCCTGGGGCAGCTGATCAGACCGTTTTTCATTTTCCATTTACACGATATAGCACAAACCATCTTTGCGATCCCCAGTCGGGGGTCGATGGATTTGCTCACTGCTGATAAGACACAACCAGGTCGAAACAGCTGTCCAGCAGTGATTCCTAGCTTTTCAGTTCAAGCTTCATTTGCCATAGACACGACGAATTCCTATTTGAAATCTAATCACATCCTCCATTACTCACTTGAGTTTCTAATTATCGAACGGTAGATCCATTTTTGAATGAAAATGATTAGCACCGAGAAAACGACCTAACGCGGGGTGTGTGTGTGTGTGTCTACTTGATGGTGGGAGAGGGGGACAATGCTCACCTCGGTTAGTTCAGCCTCGGAATTGAACCCGAGTCCGTGCACTCCACCGGTCTTTGAGTCTGCCCACTGACCGAATTTTTGGGAAGTTTTTTTGAACGTCATCTTCTCGGTCAGAGTGCTATTGATAATCACCTGGGAAAGAAACAGAGAGAGAGAGAGAGAGAGACGAAAAGAACCGGAAATAAATTGGGACCAAGGGGACAAAGGAAGTAATCACATAGGTCAATAAAAGCATAAACTGATAGTCGAGCACAGAACCCGGATCTTCGCGACAAGAATAATCATGATGAGGCAGACATAAAATAAAGCGAATTAGAATGCATGAAACGGGAGTAAAATAGAAGTGAAGATCGAAAGAACGAAATTTACCACAACTTTTGCTAGAGTATACATACACATTTACGGCTCTCAGCAATATCCCGATGAATATGAGTTCATTTCCAACATATTGCCCTATTTCGCCATTCCTGTTCAATTTCATCAAAGACGAAATACTGGAGAACGCACCAAATGGTCGCCAAAATGTTAGTATTGAATGGGTAGCTGGAGCAAAACTGTGCGATTTGGAGTACGCTGACGACGTTTTCTGCTTGTTTGAATGTATGGAGGATGCACAAAAAGCACCTGACAGATTAGCAAGTTCTGTCGCTCCGTTCAGCATGCGCTTTTTTACATCTTCCAAGTGCAAAGTGGTGCTACAAGACTGGGTGTCGCCGAGTTCTGTTCTGAAACTGGACGATCAGCAATTAGCTGAAATTGACTGCTCTTCGTACTTGGGTAGCTGCGTGACCAACTTAGCGCATCAAAGGAGATAACCGCCCGCATTGCCAAGGCTTGAGCAGCGTACGCAGAACTTGACCACCTATGGCGACGACGTGACTTGTCACTGAAGTTAAAAAGTCGCGTATACTGTGCCACTGTACGATCAGTTCTACTTTATGGTTGTGAGACCTGAATTTGCGGGTAGAAGACCTCCGTAGTCTAGAACTTTTCGAAAACCAATGCTTAGGTAGCCTAGCACAGGTTGGGTAGAGTAGGCGGGGTAGTAACCTAGAATTAAGTCGTCGGGTGTTTGGGAATGCATCGAACAAGAACTCGCCATCGCATCGAATTCAACTCAACAGGCTTCGTTAGTTAGGACACGTCTTGCGTATGTCTGACGGTCGCCTACCGCAGCGCGCCTTATTTGCAAAGGTTTTTACAGACTGGAGAAAGCCACGTAGAGGCCTGCAGATGAGGTGGAGACGACGCATGAAGAAATGCACACAGCGATTAGGCAGAGTAAGTGTCTCTCGTCTTCCGGGTTGGAGTCCAAAAAACTCCGCAACCGCATGGTTGGAGACACTGGCGGTCATAACTGCGAACCGACAGAAATGGTCATCTTGCTGACACTTCTTTATCAGACCAGAATGCTTGAAATAGTATGAATGCACAGTTGGACTGTGTACTCTGCGTGTGTGTTGACCATAGAGTTTCACTTTCTTTTCCCGTCTGTAAAACTAAGTCCAATCCCCCTATCCTCCTCACACATTCTCACTTACGAGTTTGGCAGCGATCAGTGAAGTTCGCTTCACTGTATTACACTGTGCAACGATGATGATGATGACGATAATTTCAAACACTTACGGCCAGTCAATCAGGGGTTCTGGTGGACCGCTCCCATCCAACAATCCTCTTGCAGCACGATGTTGTTTATACTTCTTCTTCTGTCATGCCCAGCTGCGGTTGAAGTGACGTGTTTCGATTACACAACCGAGTTCATGCATACATCGCACAACAACACACACACAAGCTGTTTTGACTGGAAACTATCTGGTCTGTGTCGGTCTCCGAGTGCACAACTTCGGGGAGACACACACATACGCACCATTTATCGTTAAATTCCCCGAACCTCAATCTATCCTGTTTCCGGCCACTGCTGATCTGTCGCATCTCGAGGCTAAAACAAACAAATCTCCGGGGTAGATGAGTGGGATGGAGGATCATTTTATCTGGTGCCGAGGCCTACCTACATACCAGATCCCAATTCATCTAGCAAGGGAAGCGAAGCAAAAATGTGGGATTTGCTCGCTCTCTCTCTCTCAGTCAAGGCAATGCGGCATTGTCTAATCCCGCATCACTTTCCATAGCAGATGAGAAGAAAAACCATACTGATTTGGATAAACCGACAGATTGGAACCTGATATTCAGACACATGTCAATGATACTTGACGTCAATTAGGAGAAACACTACCCATAGCATGATTCATCGGAATAGGCCTAGATCAAATTGATTGAAATCTGTTTCATAGGAGTAGTGATTGTAACCAAAAAGCTCGTTATTTTAGCGCCGTTAGTAGTATAAATAGTTTATAGTAAAAAGTCACTAGGTAATAGCCAAAATTTTATGCTATGCACACAGCACATAGCCATACATGATTATAACTGCGTTGGTAATAATGCAAGCCCGACTAACTGCTATATGAAAAACGGTAGAATGTTTGCGTTCCATCTGTGAGGTCCGGGTTGATTATATAAATGTATACAGTATACAGTAAGTAGTATATGAATGAATGCCTGAACAAAATTTCCCTGGGAGCACACGACTGGTTTTGCAGTTTCCACCGATCGTCAGGCATGCGTATCCGGTAATCTTTTATCAGTTCATTCATATACTTGTACCCAAGAAGTGTATTTTTGTCACAACCTCAGGAACAGCTCGCTGATGAATCTATGCCATGATTCGATGTTTTGTAAGTGGGCTAGATGCTACTAACCGTAACACAAACACGACTGAGGCGTCTAAAAAACGTCGAATGATAGTATTGGTTCATCAATGGACTGGTTCTGAAAGAGCTGTTCAAACAATATATATATATATATATATATCATGTGAGGATATGGTTAAATTTCAAATTGGAATTCGTCGTGTATATAGCAAATGAAGCGTGAACTGAAAAGCTCGGAAGCACTGGACGCTGTTTCGACCTGGCTAGTGCTGATTTGAGTAGGGTCCGTGGCCCGCAACAAACTTTCAAAGATGGTTTGTGCTATATCGTGTAAATGGAAAATGAGAAACGGTCTGAGCGGCGCAGTGGGTAGCACGCTTGCGTTCTGCCCATGAAGTCCCGGGTTCGATCCCCAGTTGGATCGATGGATTCGCACTGCTGATGAGACCCAACCAGGTCGAAACAGCTGTCTAGCAGTGCTCTCTAGCTTTTCAGTTCACGCTTCATTTGCTATATACCACCGGCTTGTAGACAAGCATGATGCCAACGCAACAACAATCATAACAATAAAATCGGACAAAAACGGTAGAACTCACCTTTTTTCCGGTGGGCGAGTCTTCCACACTGATAATACGATAACAATGTTTGTTTGAGTCATAGAAAAAATTCACATCCACCGCTTTCGAACTGGACGGGATCCAGGATTTTTTTGTTTGTGGATTTATGGTGAACACGTGCGCTTGACAGGTGAATACGGGTAGTTCGCTGTGGACGGGGAAAAACAGACAAAATGATCAATGCAAAAACAAGTACGGAGAGATGAAAGATGAAAATGAGAACTTCATGGGTCATCACACACACACACACACACACATACGGAAGAGTTCATCTTATGACCTGAACGGGGGGGGGAACTGAAGCACTGAGAAAGAAAAAAAAAACGAAGCATCCATGCGTATTCAATTCGTGAGTCCCATTAACTGCACAACGCTCCATTCACTTCGAACAACAACAACAACCGTTGGTGCAGTGGTCTATTCGCTGTTACCCGTGTGCCACTGTGCGCCAACCAACTTTGATGGTAGACAGCTTTGCTGTCGTCCGATTCAATACCACGCCTAACCTAGCGCGGGGCCTTTTGTGGTTCACCATTCTAAGTCCCCGCGGGGCTTAATTTACCGGTTCCCATCCTGTTTGTTGTTCAACACACAAATAAGAAAATACACCTCAGATTTGGGGTTTTCCTTGTCAAACTCAATGCCGAACAATTCAGAAACTCTAACGGGATTGGGAAGTGGGATTTGAGTTCCTTTTGCATTATAATGACTTCAGCAAGCATCCATGCCAACGTTTCAGTCAGAAAATTTATTTTTACCATCACATTGGGAAATGATGAAATTTCCATGTATACAAATATATATATATATGTATATATTAATATATATACATATCAGTGATGAAACGTAAACACAAAGATCGTTTACGTAGATCAAAATGAGCTCGTGTAATACCTTCTAATATCAGTTGGAATGCAAGACAAACAAATTTTTGATAAATTAGGACTCATGTTTCGATGAGATGATAAGCAGCGAAAGCTGGATCTAGCTGTCTGGTGTGCACGGTAGATCGAGGGTGAGCGTATAGTCCTGTTAGTTAAGACTTATTATCGACAAAATTCTCACAAAAGGATGTGTGAATTTCACAAAGTTTAAGAAAAACACGATCAACAGGCGGTGGTGGCCCGGTCGTGATAACGTCACCAAATTATCACCCAGCGGGGATCTGTGTTTGAGTTCCACCACCACCACCACCGCCTGACTTTCCCCATTGTGTCTGTGTTATACGGCGGCCCCATTTGATTGGCCGCCTTCCCTTTTATGAAAATTAAATCTATATGTATATTCAATAAAAGGAAGTAAAATGAGAAGAAAAGAACCGAATGACTTAAGACCCAAAGACAAGTAAAGTTTTCGAGCCGAAAATAAACAATATCCAGACTCAGTGCATCGAAATGTTTGATTGCGATTAAGTAAACAGAAGTACAAATTGGCAGGTCAGTGTATGACATTCAGTATGAATGAGTGCGCAGGTCGACTACTACTCAGAACACAGAGGCTAAGATTTTTAAATGAATAGGCGCGGAAAACGGAATACTTCGACGGTACCAACGGTGCCTCGAGTTGGCAAACACCGGTTAAACTTTTTGTATACCTATCTAAACTTGAACTGTGGGTCATCAACCAAGTAAGATGTAGCTGCCTCTTCTCTGTTGCCTCGCCAATTGAAGTGAGATTGGAAGTTAAACTAGTCCAATCCAGTCCATTAACACTTTACACTTTGTCTGATTGCTCTACATCAGACAGTCTGTCACTGGGAACCACATTGATGTTGCTACCTTAACACGAGAGTAGAGTAGTTTTCATCATCATATTCATAACAAAGTTGACGAAGAAAGGCGAGAAATATCAAGCCTGAAGAACACCGCTATTCGTGGTGAACTCGTGAGATGGAAAAGAGCCGTAAGATCAAAAACGGTTCCGAACATTAGTATAAAAGAATCCTAATGGCAAACCCTCCGGACCGGAATAAACGGTTCAGGTTTCCTCATACTGTTTTTAGAAGCTATTTAAAACCATCATCTCCGACCAGCTGTATGCACTCCTCGATTATAGAGAACTACAGAATGACCGCTGACAGCACTGATCTACCAGTGACCGGTTGACCGTAGCGGAGAAACAGATCTGGTCTTTCTAGACATCTTCAAAGCGTTCGACTCAGTTAAGCTTAAGTGAAGGCTTACTGGAAAAACTGCCCAGCGCTCATATTGCAGACATCGACGTTCCTTAGAGAATCCCCTCTATCTAAGTTGGTGGGATGCTANGCTATCTCAAGCGGTTCAATGATTTTCGATCCAAGACTTCCAACCCCATCCACTCGATGCAGATGACGACATTATCATCATCATCGTCATCAGCATTATCATGATCAACGTACAGCGAAATACCGTGAGATCAACTTCACTGATCACTTTTTTATTACATACCTACGTGTGATGAACAGCAGACGGGGTGAACCCCATAGTTCTTTGTTCTTTTCACTTTACTTTCTTTTATTGAATACACCGATAAAAATTTCAGGAAAGGTAAAGCGGCAAATCAAAGAGTCGTAAAACAACACATAAATGATGGTGGTGGTGATGGGATTCGAACATATCCCCGGGGTGATAATTTGGCGACGTTATCACCGGGCCACCACCACTGTCACGAGGAAACCGGCAAGCTAAGCGCCGGGACATTGAGTGGAGAACCATATAAGGCCCCAATAGGTTAGGCGCAGTATTGAACCGGACGACAGCACAGCTGACTATCACCAAAGTCGGGTGGCTTACTTACTTACTTTGCCACGGCTGGCTCCTTAGAAAGGATAAGCCGGCTCCAGACATGATCATGATCATGAAGTTCCTTGGGAGTTTGGTACGAGAGACGTCCCCAACGTCACTCAGCGTTTTTTTTTATTTTGAGGGTGCACCTCTAGCCTTTGTACAACCAAGTGCGAACTGCAAAGCAGCAGGAAGTAATCCCTCGTCTCTGAAGTGAGGAGGTCAATGATTCTAGTCTTAAAAGACCAGCAACATCGACCTTTGTCACGACACCG